GAGGAAGGGCAGGTGTAGAGGGCAACGCCACCTCCTGGACCCTCCGGTCTATCCTTTCGGGTTAGATTGAGTTGTCCTAAACGAACTTCCTCGTCTCTCATGTTCTCTGATAGCCATGTTTCACAGGAAGCCATTATGCTAGGACTTTCCTCATTCGCTAATAACCTTAACTCAGGTACCCTGGAGCGTAGGCCTCGTACATTGCTGAAGGTACAGCGAATAAGATTATGGGGGCCGGAGGTCCCAGAAACCGGTTGAGTTAAGCGTGAGTTGCCAGCCTTTAAATGGCCGGCTTTGACAAGTGTTTGATAGGGCAGTGGAAACAAAGGCTACTGTATCCGCTGATCTCTTTGACCGAGAACTGGTGCCGGGTTCTCCGATCTGGGACGAGGTCGATAAAAACTCTTGCTCATCGTCCAACGGTTCTACCGTTAGGCGTGCGTTGGCCAATGGTAAGCGCTTGAATCACCTATCAGTCTGCCTTTGTTCCCTGGGTCTGCACTCGCTTATCTTTATTTCTCTAGGAAATGTATCAGATACATAGTACCAGGACTCCAAAGTAGTTTCAACCAAGTCCGGAGAGTCAAGAGTTACTTGGGGTAGCCTGGGAGTACGTATAGTCGAGAGGTGAGCCGGCTTTGGAAGATGATTAATTCTTTCGGCCCTCACATCAATTTGGAGTTTGCTGACAATATATCTCCACTGATTTATGTTGTGGATAAGTTCGGTAGTATCGGTACCCGAACATTCGGGAATCCCGTGTATAATTACCGAGCGGCATAACTCTTGAGAGTGAATCTTCTTGCTGTTGCGAAGACGTTCTCGCACTGACCAAGGTCTATCAGGCCTAAGCCTGACGTCAGACAGTTTTCGTTTCACCAACTGATGACCTTTCAAAAGGATGTGTTCGGACTGACGTGTACTATCAAGAGACACTGTTAAAGGTCTAGGAGAGCCTTTTAGGGGAGAACTTACTACGCGCCAGGCGTTGAAGAGATGGACTGCGGGGAGAGGTTCCTAGGAGTTTGCAGACACTCTTCCATCGGTCAAGTTTATGTTCTTCACGATCAGTAAGTAGGGAGCAGCCACTTTCCTGAACGTTGAAGAGTATGAGCGATCTAAGATTAAGGTTACGGTCTGTCTTTTGCAGCTTATTCCAACCTGTGAGTACAGACTCAGATTTCTGAGGAGCCTTTTGCGAGTGACTCGGAAGACCTGAGGTGCCAGCTGCGGGAGTTTTCTTGATGACTGAACGAGGCTGGTGGTGAAATGCAGGTGGCTTCCGCCCCGAGTTACAGGTGGTGGGAGCAATATCTGCTTTTTTCGGAACGCTTTTAGCCTGAGTAGGAGGGGAAATGTTCAGCTTATGGTTCGGCTTATCATTAAGTTGAGTAGCCGTTACTCTGTCAGACTTACGATCGTTACCTGGTGTTCCATTTTTAACTGAACTGACCTGCCTACATTTCTTCAGACCTTTCTTTTGGCGCTTATCAGGTGCGAGATTCCCATTCATCACCGAGGGGATCTGTTCCAAAGGCATTCTTATGGGGAGAGTCTGTGACAGTGATGAATTCGATACCTCCCTTACTGCTAACTTGAGGGATCTTTTTATGGCCAGGGGACTTCTTTAGATTGAGGCTGGTTTGTGTAGAGATCTCAGCTGCGAGGTGGTCGGAGTTCTGTCTCACTAGCTCTAGGCCTATTTAGTACCTACTTTTGGACCTACAACATGGACAAAAATACCAATCACCATCAAAAGGGCTATTAAGCAGTGCTTCGTAATAACCAGATGGCTGGCTGGAATCACAGGAGCAGTGAGTCCACTGACAGCAAAGCTCACAACCCATCACCTTAGCTGAAAAGCTGACATGTCAGCGATAAACTAAGCAGGCATCCTTTGAAACTGCCATTAGACTGTGTAAAGGAGAGAAAAATGCTTTTTCAAGGAGTTATGAACCTTAACACAGTAAATATAACAAACTAATCAAAATTTGTCATACAGTGGAGCGCAAAATGGCGTCCGAGCCTGCCCTTGTGCATGCTGGTTAAAACAAAGCTTAAAATGTCCTAAACATCCGGAGACAAGCTAGACATTTACCTGGTTAATTTAATTCAAGCTATTTATTTTAGCCCTAGTTATATTTTGGTGCCAAGAAGGTGCACTACACCCCACTGTCCTTTATGAAAAGCGCGCGGCTTTTCGGCCGTTGTATCATGGTCAATGTACTTCTGCGTAGTATTTCTGTGCTCCTGTTCGAATTTCGTCTGCTGCTTGCTTTTGTTATTCATTTCTCAGGTTTACCCAACCAGCCCTTCATCCATATGGAATCCTAGCAATCACGTTTGTCAGCGTGCGCTGTGCCATCTAGACCTTATGACGAACGCATAAAGCCCAAGGTCACAGCTGTACTACCCGCCCTACCTTCAAGAACATCGGAAGATTCAAACAATAGCCGAATATTTCCACTTTCGAGCTGAGCTTGCCTCAGTATGATGAACAACTATGCTGGCGTTTATCTGTTTCATTCTTTGCTGTCTGCAAAGCATTAACGTTCTTACTCTGGACGCATCTTTTATGTACCGGAAAGAACGGTGTCCATTGTATAGCTTCATATTGTACATAACAGTCAGTTCACGTTACCAAAATGATCAGACCTGTAAACTGGTTTGTTTTCATGTATTCATACATGTCGTATAAAATACATTATTATCATTACTCACGAGCCATGGAAGTGGCTGCACGCGAAAGTAGGAAACACGAGGCACTATCTCGCCGGTTTAAGTGCAAGGGACAAATTGCTAGCTCAGACGTAGCGTATTGAAGCCCTGAATGGGAAGTGGAGGGTCTACTGCCGGATAAGTTGACCTCCGGGACAGATAAACGCAGATTTCTAGCCTACGATGACTTCAAGTAGCCAGTAATTGGCTCGGACTGCCTGGCAACAGGGGGGTTAGGTAATTCATCTGATCACAGGCCGATAAGGGCGATATTTTCATTGATCCCTGTACAGCACATTTAGACCGCAACTAGACACGGTTATCAGAATGTTCTATTAATTCCAGACTCCCAAATGACCATGACATAAGCCGCACCTGGCATGTCGTAGACCTAAGCAAAACCGATGAGACGGCGGTTGTTTCTCCACTTGCCGGACATGTGTTGCGTCACGCAGGCATCATGGTCCAACCCAATACTCTGAAGTGACACGAACGTTCACTATGTGGATAAATCACTGCACCCAGTCTTTTACGAAGAAACAAAGTGAAGCCTAGGAATTCCTTGAGAGAAAAAAGAACAAAAGTTTCGCTGCAATTCATGATTCGCCAGTATGCCCTCAAGTGGGGGCCGTGGAGTGCATTCCATTTTATGAACTGTATTAGTCAAAAGCACCGTGGCATGTCCGCACAACGTGTACGAAGAGAAATTACGCAGTCGCCTGGAGATGGCAAAGCTAAAGTGGTGATGGTCAGATATCTTGATGAAATCTCAACCGGAAACCTCAGCAGAACAGCCACCCACGAACAACAGAGGTAGCACTATGAACGTTGACTATGGTGACATTCAAAACCGTGAGCACTTCAAATGTGGAAAAAATTTCAGGGACCGGGTAAACCCCATCCATAGGTGATCGACCAGCATGCTGCGCAGCTGGCCAATCGGCTACTATGTATAAGCTAATCCTCAGTCAGGGAGAACACCCATTAATCTGTTGGGACCCTATGTTTATACCCGTTCGAAAAGTAGGTTCTGAACAGACTAATCAAAAAAGACCGATAAATTTGACCGGCGCAGTGGTTTAAATCCTGGCGAGGGTTATCGGGAGCTCTGTTACAGGTCACCTGGAAAGTAACATCCCGCTGTCACGTTCGCAGGGTGTCATTTCCAGAATTTTCTCACACCTGACAAACTCCACGGCCAGAGGAGGTTGAGTTGGTTGTAAAGATAACAGGGAGGCCATAGATAGCATTTTTAAGACCTCGATAAGGCCTCCTGAAGTGCACCTCACTCCAGGCTGCTGATTCCAGTGAAAAAGTCTTGGAATCACTGACAGTGTATTTTACAAGATCAGATGCCTCCTTGTTAGTAAGAGAAAATGGTAAGAATCTGTTTCTATCTCTCTACTTGGAAGTCGGTACGGAGTGGGGAGCCACAAGACAGTCTGAGGCATCGTGACCTTTCTCATCTATAAGAATGAACTGCTAACACATGACTCTTTATGCCGACGATGTAATATTGAGGTGGAAAACATGGTACATACATAGAAATACCTGATAATTTCACGGCCTGGTCAGATAAATGGTTTGCTTTTATCAACGCTGCTAATCTCATAGCCATGAAGATGGGAGGCTCAGATGGCAACACCACCAGTACCGAACCAAAACAGCCAGGGCAAGAAAGTGCGTCATGAGTTAAAAACCAAAGCGTAATATCAATAGATTGCCCGTCAGTCTCTCAGCACAATTCGGGCAGTACTCAGAATTTTACTTGGTATCAGTAGCAGTAAATCGGCTACTTTACACATCCCATTGGTCAGATTCGAGATACAGAAGTGAACACAGGAGACGGACTCTTGTGTGGGTCGTAACTTAGACCTCCCAAAAAGATTCTAGCGGGATTTTATGTGTGTGATCCCTGTTATGGCTAGCCTGACCTATAAGAATCAAGATAAACGTCTAATGGGACACATGAGATTTAATCATGAAGTCGAGAATTTTAAGAAATGACTTTGGATTCAGTCCATACTTTTTTCCGCTTCAAAACAGGTCTACACATCTCAGAAGACAAGGCGGAAGTGTACAGAAGGGAAGCACAAAAGTCATCCGTTCATTGTATAGGCCTTTGTCTCGAGTAACCAACTGATGGATCTGACTCTGGAAAATTGTCTAAGCGTTATATCAACTTGTTCAAGAGAGGAATAGAAGGAAATATAATTCTGTTAAGAGGGATTAACACAAGCTAATAGCCTTCTATCCTCAAATCAGAAAAATATCTGTACTATTGAAATGTTCCCGCACGTATCCGTTTATACGCTACATTTAGGCATGAAAACGTGAAGTAAGTAAATCTAGTTAGTTCAAAATTTTTCACAAGGTTCCAAATGATAGATAACTTATTTAACTTTTGCAGTGCTTCTAAACTGTCGTACTCCGTAAAGATTTTGCTCTTTGGAATTAAGCGCTTATCAATGACCTACCAGGATCCCTCACTTCTCACTCACTATTACATGCCAATGATCTGAAGATTTGAAGGGGAATACAAGCGCCAACGGATATTTCTGTCCTCCGGTAGGACCTTACAAAAATCTTAAATTGGACCAGGGAAAACTTGTTCTTTCTGGAAGAAGTGTAGAATAATGATTGTTGACAAATATAAAAACAATTCCAGTTCTCACTCTCTGGGTGGAATGAATATCTGTCACTCAAACTTAGAATTAAATTTAGGAGTTACTTTAAGTGACACACTTGGAGTTTCGGTTCACTGTTGCTTTGCAGCCAACAACACCTATAGAGTCTTCGGGGTTTCTTTCACGAACTTTAAGTAGTCTAAATCCCACTCTTTTTACTACTGCATGAACCCTATATTCGTCCTCATCTTGGAAACTATGCTCTCGTGATGTCCGCATACTCGAGGAAGGACATGGCCATCCTAGAACGGGTTCGGTGAAGAGCTGCGAAGAAAGTTTTTGGGTTGCAGTACAAATCTTACCTGAATCGCCCAGTTGCTCATAAGATGCATCCAGTACAATACCGGCGGATCAGAGGGGATATGATCATGATATACCACGTTGCCAATAATCCCCTTCATCCTAACACATTCCTCTTAAGCTTTAATCAGAAACACCACCTGAGGAGTCACCCGTTAAGAGTAGGGCATGAAAGAGCACGTACGAAGATCCGTGCTAACTCGTCTGCAGTTAGAGTTTGTAAACTCTGAAACTCCCTTTCTTGAGCATCATTCTCTACTACTTTAAAAAGGAGGTTAGATACACTTGTAGAGTCTTGTGGTTCCTATGGGCTGCACTCGAGAAGCTTTCCGTCATCTAAGGATCAGGAAGAGCACTACTACCTTAAAACCGGATTAATTAATAATCGATTATCTCTGTCCTTTCACTTTTTTCGGAACCAGGAAGATAATTGTGACTATTCGAAACATAGGACTTACTCCAATCAAGCAGATGTAGAACTCAAAGAATCATCGTTCACTTATTCTACAACACGAAGTTTGAGGGATCCTTGAAAATACGGTGTCAGTAAGGATGTAGTTAGACTAAAACAAATCATGGTCGTTTAATGACAGTTGCATCACAAAGGAGATATGGGATGGTTACTACGCATCAATTTAGACTGGCATTTTCAGGTCAAAAATTCTCATAAAAACCTGTTTATGAAATCTATGTTGATGTTGATGTGCTGGAAGGAGCTCATCTAAGATTTCACGTACCAAGTACTCTTAAATAAAGAGGACTATAAGGAATTGCTCCTGCTTCGTTGACGAAAGCATCCCAGCCATGGTGCTGCTTGTAAATTCACCACAAGTAACCGATAATGCGGCTAACACAGGTTGTATTGCAGTGCTTCAGTAAAGTCAGTGCCGGGAAATTGTTTTCGTTGGTAAAACTCCACTAACAAACTCAGTGCCCTATGAAGTCGTCCTAAGGCTACTCCATATCCTCAACCTAGGTATCCTGTCGTTTAGATAAGCTTTGTCTCCTTATGTTGCCAGCATTAGCAGCAATCACCATCGAACCGCTATCTTGACTGTTTAATACCAATAAACAAATCGAAATCAGTCAGGGATCGGAAGGATGCTATCCAGTCCAGTTTATAAAACTGATCATCGATATCCGGTGGCTTACTATTGTCTTGTAGGCATAACTTCCTCTGTTTCTAAGCTTGTGGGATATGTCATCTCAAACGCCATTCTATAGTGTTCGGTGGAATCGTCGCCAAGCCATGGAGCAGCATTAGTTAGTATAAAATCTCATTACAAGAGACGATTGGGTTATTACCAGCACTGTCCCAGCTGACGTAATATCTTGTGACTTCAGCAGACATTTTGGTATGGTCTCTCACCTAAGCCTCAGGACGAAGCTGGGAAGCTTCAAAATTGATGATGTAGTTAGGAATAGGGTCGAAGATTTACTTTGCGACAAAAGGCAGAGAATAAGGGTATATGGATGCTTTTCGTCATGAAAACCAGTAGATGGAAATGACTCAAGGTATTACTGTACGTGCATGAGGTGCCAAGGTAGACTCAATCTTCCTCGTTCGTGTTTATGAATTCCGTGAGACTGGAGATCTATTGACAGGGATAAAGATAAGCTGCTCCTACAGGACGAACTGAATGCCGTAGTGGGTTGGTTCACGAGATTGTGCCCAGAAATTAATACCACCAAAAGCATAGTCATTTGAATGGATTATGACGATCAACATAACTACTTGGTAAATGGAACACTTGCTCAAAATCGATCGAAGTAGATATATCAATCAACATAGGATCAAGCATTACTGCGTAACTGTCCAAATTGCCACACATCAGCAATCGGTAACAAAGTGGTTATGTGAAAGATGAATAAAGAAGGGAAGATTGGTCGGAATCAGTAGAATGCACTTAGAGAGTGAAACGAGGAATGAAAAACTGCTGAATTATCATAGTGGTTACAATGAAGATGATATGTGAATACATCTCTGCCAATGAGGTCGATTCTGAGTCATATTACCTGCAGTCTCCAACCACCTTTCTGTTGTCAGGTGGACCCCAACCGGCTAGTCTGCATCTCTTTGCATGAATGAGAACAACAGTCAAGAATTTTCATACAATGATGCCATGTTCTAGTCTGGCCATCCCGATCATTTTTCCAACTGCGACCTACCTCAGTTAAAATTGCACGACGAGGAAGATAGTGAATAGGCATGCGTAGTACATGTACCAGCCATCTTAGTCGATCAAGGTTTACAGCCACTTCAACTGACTTTCTTCTTCTCCCTACAACTCTGCACCTGACCTTCGTTACTGACACGACCTAGGCTACGAAGGGGACGATGTTCAAACACCAAAAGCCTTCTTATGTCCTCCACTTTTGATGGCCATGTTTCACAGCCATGCAGCAGAACAGAGCAAACTGCAGCACGGCACACTCAACTCTTAATAGGCAGTTGGATATCGCGGCAGCACCACATGACGTAAGTTTGCGAAACCTAATCGATCCCTTTGTGTCTGTGCAGAGATTTCGTCGGCTACTAACTCACGAGAGTTGACCCAACTTCCTAAGTGAGTGAAGTGGTCAATGCACTCAACCACTTCACTTTTTATCAGAGAAATACCTCTACGATAAAGCTGAACAAAAATGGAGAGAGTGGACATTCTTAACGGACAGCACTCAATGTACACAGCTCGCCTAACAATTCACTATAGGCTCTAACACCCCCGCGGGTGTTTTAGTAAAGAGCCTTTAACAGAGTGATATACTCATCGCATACCCCTCTCAGTGGAAGACTGCCATAAAGCCTCTCGATCGACAGAATCGAACATCACCCTCAGGCCAAGAAATATAGTTAGTGTTGGTCAGCATCGGTCAGTGTAACTACCCAAAATGACTGAATACAAAGATTTGGATATCATAGCTAATCGTGACACTAAAAAGTAAGCTCACTGTAGAGCAGTGGCTGCTAACGGTTTTCGAATCTTGAGATCTTTGGAAAAGACCTTTCAGAGCTTTGATGAGAACATGCTTAGGATTTCGTACTTGACATATGTATGACCCCATTTGGGCCGTGGAAATTAAACAGCGAGTCCATGTTTCAAATACGAAAATAAATATTAGGGAAATTACAGACAGTAGGAACCAAGATGATCACACGGCTGTCGAACATCTCGTCCGAAAGAAGGCCGGATCTATTAACTCTTTCCTGTAAGATGAGAACTGATCTCATTTTAACATTTCGTATCTTGAATAGTGATTTGCGTCCTAACTTATCTTGTTTACTCCTCTTCTTTAGAAATGTTCACGTCACAGGATATCATCAAAAAGTTTACAAATCACAGTTGAATCGTACACGTCTGGAAATAAATTTCTCGTACGGAGTTGTAAATGACTAAAACTCTCTGCAGAAACGTATAGTGTCTGCACTTTCTGTTAGATTTCCATAGTATTACCAATATCAAGAATTAATATAGGTCATTGGCCTACTATTTATATTCCTAAAGGCCAAAGTAAATCATACCGCTCTTAATCCTACTCCTAGATCACTCTTGAAATTCAGTCTGAAAGGGCATCTTTTCAGGGTTGAGGCTTAAAGAGTCAACCTAAAGATTCATATCACCTCTTTGTTATCTATTTATGCATCATACTGTTCTTATTATTAAACAGGTATCTCACGTAAACATTTTTCGGGTGAAAGATTAAGTCATATGTATATGGCTTCTTTTTAGAAATCTGAATACAAACACTTAGTGACAAATTGACTATTTTTCACCTTTATTGTACTGTGAAAGACTCCACTTATTAACTGGTGGTGAAGAAAGTTGTATAAATCCTTTCTGGTCATCTTCCAGCCGCCGAAGACATTCAGCACTCATTTTCTCAATTTGCATGTTGTATTTATGATGACTTTCAGTCCAGTCTTTAATGATTTCTGCAATCAAGTCTTTGAGTAGTTTCATACTCAGTCGTACTCATTGGTATCGCATACTTGACTACGCGTGTATGGTACACGTTTATTTTTAACCACAATTATTTCTGTAGATGTATTTTTCATATCCCTAACATTATTTTCAGGAATCATTACGTATCAGTAAAGATGAATTCACTCTGACAGTATCCACTAAGAATGAATACTGACATACCGAACAATGGTATTTGAAATGATAAGACCTATATGTATTCATTTCTGTGAATTTTTTCATTGTTCTCAACATCTGTAACTAACGATATTTATATTCACCGCTGAGAAAAGTATAGTTGTTAGCTATCTGGAAGTGTTGATTAACCTTGGAAGAATTGACACTGATAAAATTAAGTCGATATTTCATAATCCTTATCTCAGCATCAGTCCTTCTTTGTAAATAGAGAACAATGGATTGTTGTTCTTTCAATATGCATATCTGTTCATTGACTTGTAGTTAAAAGTTGAATATCTAGACAACTTTGAAGCGTTAAATATTTTAATATTTTTCATTCCATCCTAAGAATATTTGTAGTCTTTGACTCAAAGTCGAAGTATCAATAAATTTCTATCGGATGTCATTAAGAAATCTTTTCTCTTTTTCGACTGTTCATTAGCTACCGTTTTTTTCTAGTACATCTAACATGAACCAGAAACTCAATTTACTCAGGTGTGTTTTTCCAGTCACTTCCTCAAAGTATCCTCATTTTTATTGTATGCATTTGTTATAATACTGTAGTTCAGCTTATCGTGTATCCACAATAGTTATACTGCTTACGGTCACTGACCTGCACTATCTAAAAGCCACTCCTGAATGAACCATTGCATTCAGTCGGTAATCATCACTATTATGGTAGTTGTTTGAGTGTAGAGTTCTGCGTAGGATTTCGTCTTTAGTTAGAATCAGCCTTCGGGTTATCAGCTATTTCTTTATTTACTCATTAGGCTTTTTTCATTAAGTTATCTTTTTTTTCCCGATAGACTTCACAGTTTCATTTCGGCGCTTGCATTCCCCACAGTATTCCACTCCAGACTATAATTTGATACAAATCGGTCTGCATAGATGGCATTAATAGGGTATATTGGCCCTCAGATACAAGAACAAAAATTAGACTTTTGTGAAAATGTCTTCGGTGGAAATCTCATTACTTTTCCGTCTATAAAACCTCCATCTGATGAGAAAATACAATGTGTACAGTGTCATGAGCCTATGGACTTTTTGATGCAGTTATATTGTCCAATCGGTGATTCAAAATATCACAGAAATCTTTACTTTTTCGTGTGTTTAAAGCAGTCTTGTCAAGTGAGTGGAAGCAACTGGAAGGTATTACGTTCCCAATACTTCACAAATTCTGATCAACCTCAATCCAAGCCATGTACAAGTTGGTGTACGGAAGATGATGATGGAGTTTCTGATGAAGAGAGTTGGGGTCTAGTTGTAGATAAGAATTCAGAGGTACGTCAGATATATATGTACTGATTCTTCTGCCTCATTTTCTTGCACTTATGCAAGTTGCAATAGTACCAATTGATTGGACTCTCTTTAAGGTCGAGTTGTTTCGTTTGCTATTGTTACAGTGAATTTTTATTTGTGTATCTGGTTGGAAAATTGATTATCAGTTTCTCTTATCAGTGATGTTTGTACTCCTCTCCAAAAGTAGGAACAAATCTTATTCCATTTGTTCAAAGGTGTACCACATCGGCTGACCATAAATCCAGCATTATATGGAGTTCCCAGTCACTGAAATCCAACCATTACAGGTGATCATGAATAATTGTTCTCAGCTATTATTGAGATTCACTTAATATTAAGTAGACGGTCAGAAAAGATCTAGTTAACACTTTCATGAATTTTCGTTTCCAGCGCTTTTGTCCACAGATTCTATCTTAATTAACTGACCCATTGGTTACTGCGTAACGGTCCAAGTTGCCACACCTCATATTAGCACATCAAGTGAGAAAGCACTAAAATGAAAGATAAAGAAACAGAAGAAAGCAGTCAAAAGTGATAGGATTACAAAGGAATAAGAAATACTGAATTCAATATAATGATTAAGATGAGAGTAATGTGTGTATACATCCGCAACACAGCCTTACTACTTAGAGTCTTCAACTGTTGGTTTCCCTTATCACATGGGCCCCAACTGGTCCAAAGCTACAGTCAAAAATCTCATGCAGTGATGTCATTTCTGGCCGCCCCGAGCCTTTTTCCAGCCTGAATATATTTCAGCCAACGAGGCATGCGTAACACATGTCCCAACCACCTGAACTGATAAAGGTTCATGACCTTATCAAGTGACTATCATCTGCCTAAAACTCAAGACATTGAATATTCCTATTTAGACATTTAGGAAAAAGACTCATTGAGCGAAAAAATACATTCCTTTCCAATTAGGTCTTCATCTCGGGCTCTACGCTACAATTTAATCAAATTACCAACCCCGTGGTAATGTTTCGGAAATAATGATGTAAATAACCAGTAGGGTTACTAAAATTGGAAATATGAAGCAAGCTATTCTTTGGTAAATGGAGTGACTTTTGATGAGTGTTCGGTCATTCACAATAAGCGATTACGTGATAACAAGAAACCAAATGAATATTGATAGACACGAGAAGGGGAAGAGGTGTACAAAGTAAACCTAGAAGTTACATCGTGGTAATGAAAGTGGTTGAACAAACTTCTTTTGGAAACAAAGGCTAGGTTTGTAAAGGTGGGTTGCAATCGCCTCTGCTATGTGAAGTAACCGAGTGCGTAGTCCATGAGGTAAATTAACTGCAATGTGATGGATGATTTTGAAAGCTTTTCCAGTAACCACTTGATGTCCTGTGTCAACTAAGTATGCAAGTATGGAGCTCTTTATAGTTTTAATTTGTCCCTTGTTCGACCATGATGGGTGGTGCTCAGAAATTCTACGATGGAACTGCCTCATTGTACGCCCAATGTAACGAGCTCCACAGGAGCAGTTGAATTAATAAATGCACATAGAAGTGGACCTAGAATCGTACAGTCGTAGAAGATGGGACATAATTTAGCGGCTGGGAATGCTTTTTGCAAGACTTTTTATGCGTTGTGTGATGATTTCACAGGCAATGTCACTCTTAAGTTTCAGCTTCAAGAAGATTTGCTTCTTAAGAACTGTTGGCGTTCTTGTCTTAACCCTCGTAATATTCAAATGCTTAGTTACAAAATTGTCTGGGTAGCCATTCCTACTAAGCAGATCACGGATGGCGGCGCACTCTTCCTTTATAGCATCCTCTGAGCAAATAGCTGAGGCACGGTATGCTAAGAATTTCACTAGGTTTCTTTTCTATTGGAGGGACACGACACTAAAGAACTGCGTGTATTGACCTATTGATGTTGGCTTTCTACATACACTTCGTTTAAAGGTTCCATCTAACCTTAACAACAAAACATCAAGAAATAGGATACTGTCACTTTTCTCCTCTTCCATTGTGAAGTTGATTGGCGGATGAACACTATTGAACTTGTTCAGAACAGCATTCTTATCACTCTCACTTTTGAAAACTATAAAGGGTTCATCCATGTAACAACAATATAACGGCTAATAGTATTGTTCAGTGGACCATTCTCTAGTTTTGCCAGAAAAAAATCTGCTAAGAGCGGGCCAAAGGGTGACCCGATAGCCACACCATCAGATTGCCGGTAGAGTTCGTTGGTGAAAAGGAATTGTGCGTTCATCGTATACCTAAGAAGTAGTTCTTTCAATGTGGAGACTGGAATACTTATTTCCTGTACCTATTGATCATTTACATCATTATTTTCGAAACATCACCACGTGGTTAGTAATTTGATAAAAAATGTAAAACTATATGTTAGTTTAGAGCCCAAGATGGAGACCTAGTTGAAACTCAACCCGATGACACTACGACACGGTCTATGTTAAAAAGGCGACGGTGCTCAGTTATCTGGAGAATAATACATTTCAGCTTCTTTACTGTATCTAATTCAGTTTCACCTTTTAGTTCTTATAGTTAAACAAGAGGTTTTTGAAAGCCTGGCACTATACAGTCAAGACACATCTTCTTGGTATAGACTCCATCTGTCAGCTAATGAAGAAAATGTGGCTAGATTTCGAAATATCGAAGCAATCGATTAGGAAAGCAAGTGTACATACATAATGATAAAACCTCTGAGCGATAATCAATCATATGGTGAATATCATTATGATAGACGAATTTTTTTATTTGGTGGAGGGGGGGGGGGAGCTTAAGCTTCCACGTATTTAAGAGTTGTTACTGTTGTCTACAATGACAATGAAAACCTCAAAAATCGATCAACCACTTCACCTAACTTAGTAACATAAAATTATTCACTTGAGTTTACATATTTTCTCTACCAATAACGCTATGTTTTGCATGATTTTAGAGATTTATGCTATTAATAGGTAGACATTTAACGTATACCTGAATTAATCAATGAACAATGTTTACTTGTGTCTAATTCACGTCCAGCTGAATATATAAATTCTTGAAATAACTGAATGTGTTATCCCAATGTGAATAGTAATTCTTGCGGTTAAGATTGTGACTATTTTCTTCAAGAGAAATACTTATGAAAATCATGTATAGTTATCCAATACAGGATGAATCCATGGTAGTCAAGGCTTTATGGTGGCCATGGCAGAGATAAAGGTTAAAGGTACATTTTTTTGGACGCATAACGCTGGTTTGAACTTCTGGATGGCTAATGCTTAACATATAGACAAATGCCTTGATCATATTCTCTTCAAGTGATTTGATCAAACCCTATAAAGGATTTCGAATGAGCTCTCAAAAAACGCTAAGTCGCCTGAGTTCACCAGGTGTTCTGTTATTGAACTGAAGATACATTTCCGTTCTCCTTTTGCCAACCAGGCTGAGTAGTGTTGGCAGGCACGTTTTACAAGCGGATGCCTGGTATGGCCAATCTACTCAGCTCCACAAGAGCAAGTAAACTGGTATACACACATTGATGCGGCCCAGTTTGTCGGCTTGTCTTTCACACATTGACCAAAACGTTTCCTGCATGAGAAAATAATTCGAAGGTTGGTGGCGAAGTATTTAAGGATTTTGACAATCATTTCCTGAGGATGTCTGCAGCGACATCATTTTTGAATTCAAGACTGAATAAAAGTATCTTTTTCGGTGCTAAATGTGTTGGTTCAGTTGGGTTATTTGGCTTTATGTTCTTATCTATGAATCTGAACAGGAAACCGTTTTCCGCTAGAGTTCGTCGAAGTATTTGCAGTTCTCCGTCAACAGTGTCCTTAGAACATATTTTCTTGATCCCCAAAGAAAGTGAATGGATAAGATTTCTCTCCTTGCATAGAGAGACTAAACTTTGAAAATAATTAAACTGTCCATTCTATGCAGGCTTTCTGTAGATCAATCTACATAGTAAATTATTGTCTTTTCTTTCGAGTTGAACATCAAGAAAATGGAATGTTAAGTTTGATGCTGATTCTAGAGTGAATTTGGTTGAAGGGTGGGCGTTGTTAAAAGTATGAAGCAGGTTTGCAAGATTCATATTTTCATCACAAACTATAAAAGTATTATCAATGTATCTTTTGTAGACTTGAAGTTTATTGGTTGTTGATAATCAGTTGGCGTTTCCCAGGCTTACCATGAAGCAGTGAGCTAGGAGAGGTTCTAATGGAGAACTCACTGCCACACCGTCAATTTGCCTATAGATCTCATTATTAAATCTAAAGTGTACATTGAAGAAACATCGAAGAAAAAGCTCATTTAAGTAGTGAATTGGAATAGCAACATCTATGTTATGACATTGAATGAATTCACATAGGAAGCAGATGGTTTCTGTCAGTGGGAAATTTGTGAAGAGGGATACAACATCCAATGAAATCATTTCTTTTACCTATCAAATTGGCATTCTTTATTGAATCAACAAAATCAAATGTATCACGTAGACTGTAGTTCAATAGCCTTTTCTTTACAGGTTCAAGTACTTCCACAAGCCATTTCGTGATTAAATGATATAGAGTGTAATACCTTCTTTGTGTATTTTGGGAAAACCGTATAAATGAGAGATCGTAGAACACGATAGGCGAAGTTGTTCACATAATTCTTTGCTGATGAATGATTCATCTCTCATTTTCTTCAATATTTTCAACAATTGCCGCTCTGTTTGCTCAGTAGGATCTTTCTATGTTGTCTGTTTTAAGAATTTATTTTCATCGGATCAAATTTTCACTTTCTTCATTCAATTGGTTTCGATGTTCTCTTGACAAAATATGTCGATAGCTAAATTTACTATTTATATAATCCAGACAGCAATTTAAAACTGTTGATTTGAAATGATTAGCATCATTATATGGAACTGGAACTAGATCCTTTGTTTGAGTAATTAGATTTTCGAACTGAACTTTCGTGTGCAGCTCGTTGACTTTTGAAGTCACATCAAAGAATTTAGGTCCAAGTGACAAGATTTGCATTTGAATTGGAGATATAATTGAAAAGTTGAATACATATTTTTCAGGACACGAAGAAAAGGCGGTTTCTTTAGTTACATACTTTAAGCTTGTACATAGCTTCGGGTCGACGTCATCAGCTCACTTCTTAGTAACAACAGCAACGTAGTTTTCGAATTCTGTTCTCTTATTGGCAGATAGTTCGAAAAGAACGTGTGACGGGTTATGTTCGAGCTCCGGTACTTCAACGAACTCTAGCGGAAAACGGTTTCCTGTTCAGATTCATAGATAAGAACATAAAGCCAAATAACCCAACTGAACCAACACATTTAGCACCGAAAAAGATACTTTTATTCAGTCTTGAATTCAAAAATGATGTCGCTGCAGACATCCTCAGGAAATGATTGTCAAAATCCTTAAATACTTCGCCACCAACCTTCGAATTATTTTCTCATGCAGGAAACGTTTTGGTCAATGTGTGAAAGACAAGCCGACAAACTGGGCCGCATCAATGTGTGTATACCAGTTTACTTGCTCTTGTGGAGCTGAGTAGATTGGCCAAACCAGGCATCCGCTTGTAAAACGTGCCTGCCAACACTACTCAGCCTGGTTGGCAAAAGGAGAACGGAAATGTATCTTCAGTTCAATAACAGAACACCTGGTGAACTCAGGCGACTTAGCGTTTTTTGAGAGCTCATTCGAAATCCTTTATAGGGTTTGATCAAATCACTTGAAGAGAATATGATCAAGGCATTTGTCTATATGTGAAGCACTAACCAACTAGAAATACGTGTCTAAATATTTATGATTGAGTTGTCTGTGTATTCAGTGAGTGCACCGTTTTAGCTTTATGTCTATCTCACTCAGTTTTGGTAATTGTTCCAATACAAAATTATAAGTCTTGTTCTTTCCCTTGTGTGTGAAGCACAATTTCTAGTAGGTAATAAATGTGGATATTAGTTTATACTTCGATTTGAAAAAGAAATAGAACAGCTGTTCAGTACTCCCAAGGTTTTTAATGGTTCTCTAGCTGATGTCAATCGATTATGACTACGATCTTGAAGTGTGTGACATGCTTCGAAATGGATTTCTCGAAGTTCTAATGAATCAGCTATGACCTGTAGGGTCAACAAAGTTAGTCGGGTGTGCGGACAAATACCAATGGCACTGGATGATGGTCACACTATTTTTTTCTTGACTGACAGAAGTAGAAAAATGTGAACCTATGGATTACGACCCAGTAGTAACGTGCTCGTCTCGGGACCTAGGCACGATCTATGGTAGGGTGGTGTGTGCACACTTCTGAGTGGTTCCATATTAGGACAAAAGAGCTATCAGGGATTCAATGGTTTCCTACCTGGTGACAGTTCGTGATGGATCCTACCTTGAAATGAGTGTTTTTTCTTGAGATCAGTCTTGCTGACGCCTCTATTCTATATCTTGGTGTACAGTAGACATTCTATCACTCCATATGTATTTATTACCACTGGTTTTCTACTTGGTATTCTGAAGTTATATGGAATTTTATTATAGTGATGCTGAATATTTTCTTGTAGGTTCAACAAGAACAAGAAAGTATTCATGGACAGATATCGTCTCTCATTGGTCGTTTTCAGTGTCATTCTATTGATATATACGAAGATACCGCAAACATCACAGAGTCTATAATAGACACAAAGGATAATGAGAATGAAACGCATTCCCATAGTTCTTCGGTGAAGCAATTTCTCTCGAAATGGTCAGAAAATGTGTTAGTGGATCAGGAATTTATCGAAGAAGACGATAACACACTGCCTGAATCTTTTGGTGATGCCCTACAGTTTTATATATCTAGTAGAGGCGAGTATGGCTGTGAAGATATTCGTTATTGTTGGTCTGGTAGGCCTATTTTTAATAGTCTGCCGCCGAGTGATTTAGAACAATATTTGACTTGTTCTGAGTGTGGTTCAGACCGTGTATTCGAGTTGCAAATTTTTTCCACTTTAAATAATTCTCTGAAAATTTCAACTAATGATCAACTAGACGAACATCTTGAAAGATTAAATCCTAACTGGCTTTTAAACATTATTACAGTTCTGATATTCACTTGTCGTAATTCATGTTGGAAAGAAACAAATGATTGGATAGAAGAATGCGTTGTAGTTCAAACTGAAAACAATATAACTAAGATTAATAATACAATACATCGGTAATGTATTTTGATCAGTTTGTAAAAAGCAATTTGTACTACATCCCAGTCTGTTCATTTCTTTGATCAGTTACATGCTTAATCGATTGTACGGTCTATTTGATTTTAATTCAATAAACCAACAATTTAATGACTTACATAGGAGGTCAGTCGCAGCCCGGATAGCTCAGTGGTCACGTCGCTGACTAAAACACTGAGTGGTGTGGGTTCGAGTTCCAGGCCGGACATTGATTCTATCGGGGTTGCAGATACACTTTGCTGATGAGCGCCAGCAAGCACGAAACCTATATATATATATATATATATATATATATATATATATATATATATATATATATATATATATATAATAACTCAAGAGACGATCAACATAGCCTGCGTAATTATTGTAGTGGCTTCAAGAACACTTCAGTTGCATACTGTGTTAATTGGTGAGTGTTCTGGTTTGTTAATTATTATCACTAGTTGAAATAGTCAGATGTTTTAACGTAGGTAGTATCTTACAACACTCAGTTTTGCTATAGTATGTTTTATGAATTGGTGCATTCAGTTCATAAGAACCTTCGGTAAATATCAATAGTCTGCTTATGCATACATGGTAACCATCTGTTTCGTCATTTAAATTGTCGAACTAGAACGTTGTTTTTAGTTTCTGTACTGATCAAAACCTTTTGAAAAAGGTAGAATACGCCATTTTGATCATAGAAGAAGACGAAAAGGTGGTTGCAGAGAAGAGAAAGATTTTTTCTTTTACTGAACTGTATATGTGTGTTACAGTGGATAGGACATTCCAGAATTTTATTTTCCACTCCAGGGGTCAAAATATACTGAATAACGAAATAAAGTTGGGCAATACAAACGAAGGTTCAGAGTAGGATAATTAAGGCATTTGGATCTAGTTGAAGTGTACTAGTCATTCAGAAGTTCAAGCTAGCGCTGTGTTCAACCTTTGTCTTTGTCGTGATCATCATAAATCCTTGACTATCATAGATTTAGTAAAAGTAAACAATGTGAGCGAAAAATGATTCTTTCCAATTAGTTTGTCATCACTAGCTCTACACTAATATATGTAGCATTTTGAAAACGTGAAATTACATACCAATCTAGTGGTGAGAGTTGTTTAATGACAGATTATCAATCTCTCTCAAAATATCAAGAAGGTGATAATTGATCAGGTAAGTAAGACAATTAACTAAAGCATAGATTAATTATAGTAGAAAGATTTTATGAAATTTCAAACAGGTTATTGCTTGTATTATACCGTCGTTGATTGGACCGAATTAATCGGTCTCAATTGGCAAGTGGGCTCCTGTGTGGATGACTCGGTATTGCTCGTGTTTTTAATTACTCGGTGATGATGGTTATTACAAAACTGATATTTTGTATAGTAGTAACTTAACTATCACGAAAAAAAAGGGAATTATTACGCCAAGGGGTAAGCTGTTGACGATAATTATTATTGTGATTATAATTAATAAAGTCTTTAAGTCAGCCTTCCTACCTGACCCCTTTTTATTTTCTTACCCCTTATCTTCATGAGTTTATATAAATACCTATGACAAGTACGTGTGTGATCAGATAATGAAGTCTCATCTATCTTGTTCTCCCCTTGCTGTCTCCAATTATCGCTAACAACTTACCACTTGGTGTAACAATTCTTTCTTTTCCTCCATTAGTTACTATTATACAAAATATCAGTGATGTAACAACCTGTTTGAAATTTCATAAAATCTTTCTACTATAATTAATCTATGCTTTAGTTAATTGTCTTACTTACCTGATCAATTATCACCTTCTTGATATTTTGAGAGAGATTGATAATCTGTCATTAAACAACTCTCACCACTAGATTGGTATGTAATTTCACGTTTTCAAAATGCTACATATATTAGTGTAGAGCTAGTGATGACAAACTAATTGGAAAGAATCATTTTTCGCTCACATTGTTTACTTTTACTAAATCTATGATAGTCAAGGATTTATGATGATCACGACAAAGACAAAGGTTGAACACAGCGCTAGCTTGAACTTCTGAATGACTAGTACACTTCAACTAGATCCAAATGCCTTAATTATCCTACTCTGAACCTTCGTTTGTATTGCCCAACTTTCTTTCGTTATTCAGTATATTTTGACCCCTGGATTGGGAAAAAAATTCTGGAATGTCCTATCCACTGTAACACACATATACAGTTCAGTAAATAACTTCATCGAAAAGAAAAAATCTTTCTCTTCTCTGCAACCACCTTTTCGTCTTTTGGAAATAATACGAACTGATGGGGGGAGGAGGCGTTAGATTAGTATGACCTAATATTCAGACACCTTAATCACTTTGGCCATATGACTGTTCCTCATTGTTGTTTCTATCTTGTTATAATTCTGTGTCATAACATACCCACCACTAGTTAATGTAGTCTCAAGTTTAAAAGCTGACGAAAATACACACAATAAGATGGACTTATTTGGTCAGTTTATTTCATGCTTCGCATTCGAAGATAAACAGATATACGGACAGAAAGAAAAACTGGTTATAAATAGCAAGTTTAGAAGTTAGTCTGAGAAGAAAGAAACATTTATAAATCACAGCATAGGCATATATATATATATATATATATATATATATCTGGATAAGAAATTGAAGTGTGACACACTGATCAACAAATTACATCATTATTAGCGAAATAAAGAGAAACACATGAGAGCGAGCTATCGCGAGGCTGAAAGAAGAGACAAAGTCATCACCACCACGTACACACATATATATGTATAGTCTCCAACAGGAAAAAAAAACTCAACATGGAATGAATGATACGAAGAATGCAAGTAACATACACACATAAATAAGTCTTGAACTATTGAATTTCTTCATACAATATCTGACTGGTGCGATACTACTATTGAGTAGTGTAGTCATGCGATGGTGGTAGACTTCATTGTTATCGTTATGTTAAATGTGATAGTACTGGTAAGAGAGCATTTAGAGAAAAATAGGCGAAAGAGACAAATCGATTATTCCATTCTTCTGTCTGAATATATAACATATTTTCATATTATTCTATATTACGTGAAGTATTGTTTAAGTACTAAATAAATAGTTGTTGCCTTAAATCAACGGCTAAAAGTATTAGTAGGAAGAAGTTATATAGAAGAAAGTATTAACTGAAGCGATACAACGTAATCAATAAATTGTCATAATGTAGTAACAGTTATGATGATTCTGTCTGAGTGGAATCCACTACAGGTTATATCAAATATGAAATAGATGATTGAAGAGGCAAACAAGGTGGCTGGGAAGTTAGCAACAGTTTAAGGAAACTTATAGAGGTAGAAAGGAAACAATGAGTAATAATTACCGGCTGGCTTCTGATGATATAATAACAAAAAGAGTTCAATTTACTATGGAAGAAACGAAGTGTAGGGGATCCCAATCAAATCCTCTGAAGATAATAATAATAATAATGATTATATATATGGTAGACAAAAGCAAAGGAATTAGTAGTATGTGTACAATTGTTAAAATATTGTTGGCAAAATGTTTCATTTCTCCACACAGTATTGAACAAAGTTATACATTGAAAATAAGGAAATTTGTGTGTGTGTGTGTGTGTTTGTATCCCGTTCTTATTGTTGTTATATTATCCGAAAATGCAACTTTCACTTCAACTTACATAACACTATGGTAATGGATTGATAACTTCAACATAATTAACTGGAAAATAACCTTTACGACCGTTCAATTCACCTTCAAACCAATTCTCATCAACTCGAAGTATAAGACTGATAATATCACCTTCAGAGAATGGTAATTCAGAATCATTCTCAGCTTCAAAATCAAACAATGCTCTACAACATGGTCCCAGTACTATGAAAATAGAAGAAAAATATTAAAATATAATAGTAGTAAACAAATAAGGAAATGAATTCTAAACTGAATGGTTGTTGGTAACTATTTCGACTAAAAACAATAAGAAGATATAAATTAAGTGAACTGTAGCAATGTGCTTATATAGTGTCTTTAAATTATGAACAAATTATAAATTGTCTTAGGCTAATCTCTCTTTGATAAAACAGCTAACTTATCGGCATTTTTAAGATTTAAGCTGATGTTCCCCGTCTATGGTCAATCATCAGCAAAAAAATATCGACCTTATAAAATGTACGAGAGAGGAGAGAGAGTAACATGAGTACTTAAGCATTAGCAACACTAGTTGTTAACACATCTGAATGATTTAACTGTCATTTAGATCAAAAACATGTATCAAATCTACTAGAATTGAATTTAAGGACTTTGCATAATAGCCTGTACTCTGGTATACATGTACATTTGTCAATCGTATTCAAACGACAACTGAACGTATATCTCTATATAAACTATGATCAAGATTTGATCGTATAGTATAGAAAATATTGGGCGCTGAGTAAAAAAGCTGAGATTAGATATAATTTATATTTGTGTAAGTCATAGTGGGTTTAAAAAAACAAATAATTCCAACATTTCGCAAGTAAATCTGATCCGAGCTTCTTCAGGGAAATAATCAAAATTAATATATCAAGGATATATGCATATGAACCCGAAAAAAAACGTGTATCATCCAATTCCTCTTCGTATAGTCATTGTCTTTCTAAATTATGACAACTAATCAGTCAGTGTGAAATTGTATGTCTTTTAAAGCAACTGGTCCCTTTGATAAATTTAAACAGATTGTTCGAAATGTATAGCGCTAATACATCACATGTTTCAGATAATCTTCGTCTTCTCATTACGCTGTTTAAATGTATGTCTTTTGTTGTATGGGTATATATATATATATATATATATATATATATATATATATATATATATATATATATATATACTCCAATTCATATTCGTCTTGATGGTAAATATCAGACGAAAAGGTCATAGATGACATTATAATCACTTGGTAATTTTTATAAGTACAACAGAATGGATGAGGCGGATATGTAGCAATTTCAGTTGGAATATGGTGGTGAATACTACTAACGAATTCTTCTGTAGTAGTTGTTATAGATGCAGAAAATAATGAAGTTCAGACTGATGTTGAGGGTAAATACTTTGAGTCACTCTTTCTGCTTACTAATTAGTAATTGCCAAGAGCCAGCTAACTGTACTTCATCTCATCTGTTCAAACTGTCTGAATACTGCGGTACAATCTCCGTATTTGATTTCATAAACGTAATTCTGCTAATTTTCTTTAATTTTCATTCAGTTAGAACGTAGGATATTTGTTGCACGAAAGTAAACTCTTATGTCGTGTTTGTTGAGAATCCTTCTTATTTCTTCTGAAGTCTCTTTACGGTATAGGATTATGACAGTGCTTGCCCAGTTCTTCGGAGGGAGTTTCGGCATATCCTTAATTTTATTTTTTTAAAATACATTTAACGACACCTTTGGGATAAGTGTTGGCTTGCAGTGTGCGGCAAACTAACTTTAGTTCTTCTTCTAGATCCTCATTTGTTGTAACAAGACGTTTAGCCCTGCCGATTAGATTCAGTGCGACAGTTACTATAGTAGTTACAGGATGTATGGACTGATAATTGAGGCATCTATCAGAATGTGTTGCTTTTCTGAAAAAACGTAATCTATAGTTTGTTGTAATTCCGTCTTTCCACTACACAGTCTATAAAGTTTAATTTCGACAAATTGGATTCAACTTCCTTGGTGAAAACAATACTTCCGCACACATTATTTATGTGACAGAAGAGTTCATCCAGATTGTTTCGCTTGATGATAACAAACGTATCGTCTGCGTACCTTCACCAAATTCTTTGAGGTGTAGAGCGATTTGCAATTGCATCTGTCTCTAAAGAATGCATGAACAAGTTAAATAGTTTCGGTGACACAGGAGATCACATTGCTATATCATCTATCTGTCAGTACAGATCTCTGAACGTGAGTACAGTCGATTGTAAGCATAATTCCAGGGACTTCAGAATTTCTCCTGGATCTAATGGGGACCGTGAACTGAGGTCAGTATGTGACAGCAGTAGATTATGAATGCATCTTTAATAGTACCTACGTTAGTAAATTAAGAGCAAATTTCACCTTTATTTTGTCTTCTTCAATGTAAGACGAAATGATTTTATTCATGAATTCAGACGAGTTTTTTACACTGTCTAGGCCTCGGTAGGTGTAGCTGGGTTCGGACTCGTGACCCACGCGGTTGAAAGCCTAGTAGTCATCATCATCAATATCAACATAGGACCAGGCATTACTGCGTAACTCCCCGACTTGCCACACCTCATATCACTACATCAAGTAAAAACGCAGTCAAGTGGAAGATGAAGAAAAGAAAATCCAGTCGAAAGAAATATAAAGTACTAAAAGAGAGAAAAGAAGAATGACAAAATCATGAGATTCCGTATAGCGTCGTTAAGGTGAGGATGACGTGTGTGTACATCTGTGCCACTGACATCGGTTCTCAGCCATATCCCATAGAGTCTCCAACCACTGGTTCCTCTTGTCCTGCCGACCCCAACCACCTAGTCTGCATCGCCCCACACGGCTCAAATCAACAGTCAAACACTTCATACACTGGTGCCATGTTTTAGTCTGGCCACCTCACGCCTTTTCCAGCCTAACCCTACTTCGGCCAACATTGTATGACGAGGCAATCGGTGACTAGGCATACGTAACATGTGCTCTGACACGCCCACAAGTGTTCGAGTAGGCAGCCTTCAATAAGGTGATGTACTTACTCCGCACTCCTTTCAGTGAGAAACATTGACATGAGACTTCTCGATCAACAAAGTCGAATGCCACCTTCAGGTCGAGAAATACAGCTATTGTCGGGCGTCGATAAGCGTGCATATGTTCCAGAACCTGGTGCAGTGTCAATATTTGGTCGGTACATCCACGGCCAGGTCTAAAGCCTGCTTGGTTTTCTCGGGCTTGCTGTTCCCAAGCCCCACTCAGGCGTTGGAGAATTATAGAACCTAAGTTCGTCAGGCTGATTCCTCTGCGGTTATCACAAGAGGACTTCTCGCCTTTCTTGAAGAATGGGATACGCAGTGATTCAGACCAGTCAGAGGGGATCGTATTTGATTCCCACATACTAGCTAATACTTCCGTTAACCTGACTAAGAGCACCTTATCACCATCCTTGTACGCCTCAGGAGTTAGCCCGTCTGCTGACCTTCCTCGTTTTAGGTTACCTACTGCTTTCTCAACTTCTCATAGTGTTGGGAGGCCTATCTCTATGTCCCATTTAGGATCCGACTGAATAGTGGGCAACGTAATGGTGGCTGGAGGCCAGTTAAACTACTCCTCGAAGTGTTCTACCCATCGTTCCAGTTGTCTCCCCTACGAGTGAATCTTTTAAGTTGCGCTCGCTCTTCATTGTACTCGGGGCCTGCAGGGATGCGTTCACGTGCATCCATTAGTTCGGAAGAAGCTGCTGATATCCACTGGCTCTTTTTAACCACTATTTTAGAGTCGGCTACGGTCTTCAACGCTGCTTTTACAGCAGACTGAAGACGGCACCAAGCTTCTTCTGGATAGTGATAGTCTTCGGTTCCGATAACTGGCTAGACAACTTTTCACTGAACACAGCTTTGGTGTTTTCGTTGCCAAACTTTTCTTACGTCCATTGAGACGCAGGCATATACGTGCTCGGACCAACGGGTGATCGCTGTCCAAACATGTACTCCAGAAGGAGCGGCAGTCTTCCAGTGATCCTCTCCAGCGATGACTAATGGCTATGTGATCTATCTATGTCCATCGCTGAGTTGAGCTCAGTGGACGCCACATCAGACAGTGTCTTTCTTAATGTGTGAAATTTGTGCCAACTAAAAGTAGGCGGTTATCTGAGCACAGTTTTAGTAGGCGATCACCATTATCTATTCGTTCAGCCGGGATTCTGAAAGTGCCACCTAAATGCCTTTCTGCCTCATTCAGTCTACCCACTTGTGTGTTGAAATCACCTGCAACAACCACCACCTCTGAACATTTGGCTTTCGAGAGGAGGTTAGACAGTTTATGGTAGAACTCGTCCTTCACTTCATCCGAACTGCAGTCAGTAGGTGCGTAAGCAGAGATTACAAAGAGACAACGGCGAGTGTCCCTATTCCCTTTAGTTCGCACCGTGCCCATCAGTCGCATAGTGCAGAAGCGACTATCAACTGGGATCCAGTCTAGTAGTAAGTTTTCTGCCCTAGTGCCTTATGCTATGCCTACACCTGCAAGACCCCGAGAGCTAGCTATCGAATCCCCAGAAACTCGGAGGTGAATTGTGCGGACTCACTAGACTGGTCAGGAGAGGTTAGGTGAATAACCGCACTTGGGTACTGTATATGTGTCTCACGAACACAACACACATCCATGGCCCGAGTTGCTACATTCTTTGCCAACGAAGCCTGAAGCAATTTGACCGAGGGTGCGGACATTGAAGGCTCCAAAATGTAATTCGGAGCGTGGTTTAGGGAGATCAAGGAAGCTGTTTTGTGAACTCAGACCGTTGTCGGAGGCTGCAGAGCTAGGAGAAAGTCTGGTAGTGCTTAGACCGATGAGTTACACAGAAAACATAGAGATAATAATTCAAATATCATTGTATATGTACGCGTGATCACCAAACAAAAATTAGGGGAGTTTATTTACTTGAACAGAAATCGGGAAAATGGATTCGCGTTAGAAAACAATGTGAAAACGAAGAGGATTTGAATCGCGTAAAAAGACATCAATTTTGTAAACAGTTACCGGTTACTCAGGAAACTTATCAGACCTACTTGAACAGTGATGCTTTATTGAGCCGTGAACTGACTAGCGAAAGAAAACACTTTTGATGATCATATGTATAGGTCCTCAGAAATTTTGGTTCACACAGACAGACAGACCGGTGACCACTGAGATTTCACTATAGCTAATCGGAGAGCGGTTTACTTTAAAGTTTATAAACAGTCGATCATCAACTGTTGAAAATCAGCGATTGTACCTGTAATATTCAGACCAAAGGTGTCGGAGGTATCTGAGCCAAGTTCCAAAGTTTAGTGCTTTTTACGCGTGCGACGGGAGTGGGAATTTTGACTTGCACAATAATTCTGTTTGTGGATCATGAAGAAAACTTGGTTATATTGACACTAGATTAGGCATATATCCCAGTCTGAGGTGTTTTTGGATGAACAGACAGTAAAATAATATACATAGGTACACAAGTGGGATCGATAGAGAGAAATAAGCTGATAACAGTGAAATCGATATGAGCAGGATAGATGTATAAAGGAATGATTATATTAACATTTTTCAATAGAACTGTTAATCAACCAATCGTATTATTGCCAAATTATTAAGGCAAGAAGTAGGCTGCTCTCTCTTACTACGAAATTTAGTGGACGGACAGGCTAAAATAATGATAATAATACAAGACAGGGAGAACAATTGACTCCTCTAACCTCTTCAAAAGTTTTTGGGATAGAGAACAAACTAGGAAATCCGAAAATTAATCAATATGTATAATGATCGATTATTAGTGGGATTCTATTGCCAAAACAATTTTTTTTTTTCAAAAAAAATGTATACTCCCCTTAACTTTCCTCTTGCTTATTGTAAATTAAGTGAAATAATAATTTTCCACATCATATAGCAAGTGATGACTTACCGGGTACATCTTTTGTTGAACGTGGACTTGGACCATTTTTAGCCGGGGTACTGAGAGCACTATTCAATGGACTCTTATTACTAGTGTCATGATTCAGTGTGCCTGAAATACGCTTAGGTTCATGTGATTTACGTGGTTTTGTGTTTGTCTCATCTTTTCTACAAATGAAAATATAAAAAAAATAAGTTACATAAGCATAATAGTGATTAATGCTATTGTTCAGTAACATTTTACAAATTTATGTATATCAGACTATTGGTACAGTGAGTGTGAACCCAATCCAAAAGGTTGGTGATTGAACGTCCAGATGTTAAAGGGACTGTGTTGTTTGAATACCTAGATGGAAGTAAGATGACACTGCTGAGTGATAACAACAAATAAAAAAGAACTGACATGATAGGATAGGCGATTGGAACGAAGAAAACAATGACTGACTGTTGACGTCAATTTTGAGTTTTATCGCACTAGTTAAAACACCAGGTATCCCCTTTCATTAAATTATTATTTCAGGTTAAAGAACAATTAAAACCTAAGAGTAGGTAGGTAGCTTTTTGTTATAGTCTCTAAGTGAGTAGTGCGTACACACATGCGACTGCATGAGCGATCGACATTGAAATTGCCAAGTCTTACAGCCACAACGTTATCTTTCAGTCACAGGAATGAAATTGAATGGTCTACTCTAAATTCCCCTACATCCAGAACTACATGTGAGGGTAGATGGTGCTTCGAGGTGAGTGGTATTTAAGTCCGCGCCACTGTATTTACTGCGCGTTCACAAACTCAGCAGCTTTACTTGATTTCCTTGTACACCGCTCCGTAACTAGTCTGAATCATTTGTCAGCAGGGCTTGGATACCATAGTTTTAGAATATTACTACTAAGCGTTTTAACAGATATTAGAAACGCTTCTTTACGCTATAAAAAGTGTAGCATCAAATCATTTAGAGAGTTTCTCGGGAGATATTTGCTGAATGAGATGTAATTCGAGGAGTTTGTTGTCAACAATCACCGATAACCCATCAATTCTTTCACAATTAGATGTCAAAGACTTACCATAATATGCACTTATCCTGACATCAGTATACAGTAGAAATGTAATTCTCAATGCACAGGTCATTGTAAAAAATTTTACCTTCAGTATGATTAGACTGAATAACTGAACTATCTCAGCAACCATGTGCTTGTCTATACATTAAGCAATAAGCCACACATACATTACGTGAAGGATAATGATAATACCTGGTTACCTAAAACCTCGGTGAGTCAGTCAACATTTTTGTCATAATAATAATAATAATAATAATAATAATAATAATAATAATAATAATGATAATAGTTGATTTTATTCCAAACAATTTGTGGTACAATCTGAAATTCACAGCATGATATATTACAACAACACCAAAATATACGTGTGTATGCATATACTCCTTTAAAACATTTCGAATTGTTTTATCATAAGAAGTTAAGTGATGTAAAGAATATTAAAGAAAACGAGAACATTTTACATTGTTATATAAGTTATTGTAGTGAGATTATTAACTGTAACAAAGTAGATATGTGAGTTACAATCGAACACTTTTTTTCCTCACATAATATGTGTGCTAGGTAAGGTACAGTCAAGTTCTTGTAATTAGCTGTACAACTGTGTAGAGTCTGATGTAATTTCTTCTCCTCCTCCTTGAGGAAAGAGAAAAAGCTGTGAATGAAGTAGATACTCAGTGTCAGTTAAAATTACTGTAACTAGTCGCTTGTAGAATTTAAATGTCTATCAACTACAGTGTTAATCTGTTGAGCCAGAGACACAACACTCACCCTACACTACATAACATAAACCACTTTTGTTTAGTAGATTAGGAAAGATCAACAGAGAACAAGGGGTAAGATGCAAGAATTAATAAATTTCTAAAGTACAGACACTGAGTTATACCAGACAGTCTAGGTTTCATTAAACAAAAGGTTTTCTCACAAGTTAACAAGATATGAGACGACCTACAAACATCAGAAGTAAAACTCAACCCAAGATAATTAACACTCGATTTAATTCCCACAGAAATACCATCAATGCAGCCAGCAAGCGCCATGAGACTTAAGCAGCTCATACGTGTCTGTCTTGTTTACACCTCATGCTAAAAAATTAACAGTCTGACATTTTCAAGGGTTTAAACTTGACACCATTGGTCAATCACAGACAAGAATCCATTTAATTCGGAGCAATCTAAGTGACAGTTGACTGGAATAGAAATCGTCACATCATCAGCATAATTAATAAAACTAGTTTCAACAGAATAAGGTAAATCATGTAACAGGAATGAGAACAGAAACGGAGAAAGTACTACACCCTAAGGCATACCACCTTCAGTAACCAGTGAAGTGGAGCGCATCTCTTTATAGACAGTATACTGTTTACTTTTAGAAAAATAAGAATACAGCCACTTTGTAACCCATGGCCAAGTATGACCTATGGCAATCTTACTTAACAAGAGTGGTTTAGGAACACAGCCAAAGACTGGTGTGAGTAGTACAAGAAGGCATAATGACTACAGTTAATATCGTGAAGCAAGATAGTGACAGCATGTAAATTACTTCTCCTGTGCCTGTAAGTAAATTGTTTTGGATCTCTAAAAGCCTTCAATAAAGGTTCAAGCACAAGGAGAATTAATTTCTTGTCTTCAAAAAAGAGGAAGTTATGACGATGGGTCGAAAGGTAAGATCTGATCGAGAAGAAGACTTAGACACAGGTACAACTTTGATCTCATTCCAAGAGACTGGTGCTATGTTTTTTGTAAAAAGATGCGTTGAAGATATTTTTAAGAGGATGACATAAAATATCTGCACATTTTCTTAATATAATACTCGAAACACCATCAGGACCTAAGCTTTAGGATTGATTCAAGGAATTAAGACATTTAATTACGTCACTTATGTTAAAACCAAGAAAGCAGCTTTCCATTTGACATTCGACATTAGGAATTGTACGATTATTCAGTAAAATTACTTTGTTATGTAATATGCAATGTCAAAAGGTTGTCTCATTTTTAAAACTATGTCCTAATAACATAATGAGCTTACAACTTCTGGCTGGTATCTCATTGCTTATCATAGTTATAACTTGAAAATTTGGTAGTCTTTCAACTACAGCCTAAACCATAATGTTGTAAAACAAAGAATTCTGAAGTTATCCTAAAACATATAGGCTAACCTAACTCCACGTGGAGCTATCAACGGAAATGTTTGCAGTACGATTGAAACTAAATGTAGTATACGGTCGATAGGATTTTATTATAGGGTTAGATACCCACAATGTTTTAAATCCGCAGTACATGACCACACGTTATATTTCAATAACCAGATTTCAGATAAAACTTATCTTGATCAACACTAACTAGAATAAAACCAAGATTGACTTTAAGCATCACCCTAGCAACGGCTTAAATAACCAATCAGATTTCGGAATTTCGGCTGAGAACGTAGTTTTTCATAAAATAGAGGGACGTGATTGGTTATCTTAGTAGTTGTTCGGATTGGCTTTTAAAATATAAGACCTAGAGGTTATGATTCGACGAGTTGGGCGTCCGAGGGTGACATGGAGGAGATCATGTGAGGAAGAAATGAAAGCTTGTGGGCAGTCGTGGTGCCAGGTCCAAAAGACTGCAGACAACAGAGTGAAATGGAGACGTGCTACCGAAGCCCTATAGTTCCAATAGGAACCCAAGGGAAAAATAAATAATAAATAAAGAGGTTATGACTTTCGTCGAATGAATCTAAACAATCTACGGTTCATAAAACCATCCATCTGAATGGCGGCATTTTTTGGCTTTCTTTTATTCTAGATAATAACACAACTTCACATGAACGTTACCATCTTATTGAACAGTGAAAACCATTTAGAGATAGAGTGTTAATACCATCATCATCATATAACTTGTCGCATGGATTTTCATGAAAACAGAACCTACAACAAAAATTTCATAACGATTTGCTAGGCGATAAAGATATATTTGGCGTATCATCATCATCATCATCAATAACAACATAGGACCAGGCATTACTGCGTAACTCCCCGACTTGCCACACCTCATATCACTACATCAAGTAAAAACGCAGTCAAGTGGAAGATGAAGAAAAGAAAATCCAGTCGAAAGAAATATAAAGTACTAAAAGAGAGAAAAGAAGAATGACAAAATCATGAGATTCCGTATAGCGTCGTTAAGGTGAGGATGACGTGTGTGTACATCTGTGCCACTGACATCGGTTCTCAGCCATATCCCATAGAGTCTCCAACCACTGGTTGCTCTTATACCGCCGACCCCAACCACCTAGTCTGCATCGTCCTACATGGCTTAAACCAACAGTCAGAGACTTCATAAACTGGTGCCATGTTTTAGTCTGGCCACCTCACGCCTTTTCCAGCCTAACCCTACTTCGGCCAACATTGTATGACGAGGCAATCGGTGACTAGGCATACGTAACACGTGCCCCAATCATCTCAGTCGATGAAGGTTCATAACCTAGTCAACCGACTTACCCCTTCTCCCTTAAACTCTACTCCTGACTTCTGCATTACTCACATGGTAACACCACGGAATACGGCCTATACTACGAAGGTAACGGTGGTCAAACACCTGAAGCCTTCTCATGTCTTCCACCTTCAGTGGCCTTGACGTGGTGGTCGGGCTTGCATATCACAATAACCCAACGAGCTATGCTGGTGGAACGCTTGTTTCCTCGAGGTCCTCCCACACCAGAAAGGTCTATTGGAAAGTGGTTAGACGAAAAGCAGTTACCGTTGTAGTGTAAATTGCTACACTATGATAGGGGTCTGAGGGCGAAGTCGTACTTCTGCTAGCTGGATGGGGTGTGACAGCAGTAAGGTGTTTCCCTTAGATGACCAGCAGTGCCATGCTGACGCTGCCTTCTTAGTGGAAGGGGGGGGGGTTAGAAAAGGTCGGCCCCACGGTCTGCCGGGCCGGGGGTGTTGGTTCATTTGTCGTTTCCTTTCGACCACCGGCCACAAAAAATACAAAAGTTCGAAATATTTGGCATATACACACATATGATTTAAAAAGCACTACAAAAATAGTGGTGATGCGTTTGCGACTACCGTTATATTTATGCCTCATTTAGAATCATATATACTTTTACACCAAAATAACGAG